GGAAGAGGGGCAAAAGGGGGCTCTCCAAGCATAGTCTTGGCAGCTGTCTTGGTGGCCCCTCTTCCGGGCACTCACTAAGTCCAGTTGGGATAATTAGGAAGGGACTGAGGATGGGTGAGGAGGCTCCCTTCAGAAGCCAGGGCAGGTGCTGTGACAGAGCATCAAGAGGCAGGGCACTGCCAACAGCTGGAGGTGACGCCACCGGGGCTCAGAGGAGGACAGCTCGCAGCGGCTCCACACCTCACCCAGGGAAAGAGGCAGCTTCCCTGAGGGTGGGATGGTCCAGACCTCTCCAGGACAGCTGTGGGGCTCCAGGCCTGGCCCACACTAGGGATGCTATCTGTGTTTTTGGTGAGTGCTTTGCTGACTACCTGTCAAAGCAGTCCCACCCCAGGATGGCTTCTCAGAATCCCAAACCCTTGCTTGGCCTCTCCCCACAAGGCCAAGGTGAAACACTTTGGTCGGGTCCCAAATTTGAAGCGTGGGCAGAGGGAGGACTTGGGCCACCCTGCTCCTGTTGCAGTCAGCTGACCAGGATCCCGCCACAAAACTGCCCCTGGCTCTCTCCTCAACTCCTTTCCAGGAAAGGAATGCAGCCAGCCACGTCTTCCCAGGGAGTGAGCTCTGGCTTGCCACTCCGCAGCTCCAGAATCTTTACTGGCTCCCTAATGTCAAATGAATACAGCCAAAGCTCCCCAACCCAGGGCGCAGTGCCCTCTGGGATCAGGCTCCAACAAATCTTTCTAGCGTCATCTTGATCCAAAACTCCAGGAACACTGTCACCCCTGACTGTGGCTTATGCTTCACACATGCCCACTCTGTGAAGCCCTCCTGCCTGGACCCACCACTGCTCTCTCCCACCTCTCTCGGGGAGAACAAGGAATATTCTCTTGGCAACATGGGTCCTTCTTATCTATGTCTTCTCTTTCCTACCAGCCCGGGAGCTTGCAGAGAGCCAGCCCTCGTCCAACCCCTCACTTTGACTCCCCAGTTCTGTGCACAGAAGTATGAGGCCTCTGTGTACAGAGGGAAGAGTGGCCCAGCCTGGGTGTGTCCCCGCCCTTTCAGGCAGGAGTCTGGCAGGAGCTGGCACAACACAGAGCCTTGTCTTCCCTGAGATGCCCCTAGATAGATTTCTCTCCAAGCAGGCCCTGTTGGAAAAGCCCACTTCCTTCCAAGCCAGTCTGATCACAAAAAGTGAGTCCAGTGACAAGAAACTTAGAGGACCTTAGAGAAGTCATCCTGAGACTGCATTTCTCCCTGAGAAATGGGGAGAAATCAGCGCTGCCCTATATTAACTCGCCAGCTCAAGGATTCAGTATGAGTAGTATTGTGTAAATAGAAACCGATTCTTTGGGTTTAGAAAGTGGGGCAGGCCTCTTCTCTCAGGGTTTTGTCCCTTCCTCCCTTCTGGCTCAGTAATCTCTTCCTGGTTTGCTTCCCCTGGGGCCTCCCTGCGTAGCCCAGGCTGGATTCAGCCTGCAGCCATCCACCCCACCAGCAGGCCCTGCTTGCCACTAGTACTCTATTCCTGGAGGTTGTGGTGGGGATAAGGCTGCCTAGAGGCCTAAAGAAGGAAAAGCCCAGGAGCAGGAGGGGCTCTCAATTGGGTTTCAGGTACCAGGCCAGCGAGGTGTGCTCCAAGTCCTCACTAGCTGAGGCCCTGATCGAGAGAACCCTCTCCTTCCTCCTTCTGGAGCTAGCCACCACACTCTCTCAAATCCCCAGGGCTTTCTGGCTCTCTGTATTTCTGGGAGTCAGCCTGCTCCCCAGCCCTTTCCTGCCCACCTCCTGGTCCCGATGCAGGGAGGCGAGCATTGCCAGCCTCCCACGCTTCTGCCCCTCCCAAGCCTGGGAGACTGCCCCAGTGGGCAGACCCAGATTTGCTGTTTGGCTTAGCCTCCTAGTTTGAAACCCCATAGCCGGTAAAGAGACTCATTCATTCCAGGCCTCCCTCCCCACCCAGCAACTGAGGCCTGAGCGGGGGAGGGGGGGGCACCCAGATAGTTTTCAGGGTCCTCCCCTCTCTCTTTCTGAGCCTCAGAGCTGTTGTGCCTGCTCCCTGGGCAAAGGAGCCCTTTCTTCTTGGGCCTGTTTACTTCCAGGGAGAGGAGCCTCGGCCAAGGGCGCTGTGAAAGCAGCTCTGTTCTGGGCCTCACCGGGCCCTGGCTCACTCCTCAACTCCTTTCCGGGAAATTGTGACATCTCCTTCTCCCCCCTACTCTGAAAGGCCCTTCTGGGCGGGGTGGGAGATGTGGAGGGGGAGGCCAAGGCTTCTTTCCATTTTCGGGGAGCCAGAGCCCTGTCCTTAGCTCTGCAACCTGGGGGCCTACACTTCCTGGGATGGGAGGGGGCCTGGGTTCCCCTTTCCCCACAGCACCTTCCAGAGCAGCAGACCCACCCTGGGTACTTGCCTGGTTCCACCCCTGGTGCCACTGAGCGTATGCCCTCAGGGCTGTGTGTGGCCCCACCTCCTCCTGCCCACCTCCTGCCCCAGGGGCCACGGGCCACCTGCCTGCACAATGCTGTGGCCTTCGGGGATGTCCTCGGGGACACTGGCCTCATAGCTGCTCTGCAGAAAGATGGGCCGGTTGTCATTCACATCCAGGACGGTGACAAACACAGTGGCTGTGCCTGTGTGCCGCTTCCCTACAGGGCCGTTGTCTGTGGGAGTTGAAGGAGGACAGGTGTTAGCAGCTGCCTGAGACTGGGGCATACTTCCTGTGCCTTTGCACACTCCCGGGCACCAGCCAGAGAGGTGTTCTGTTCTGCCCCACCTGCCTTAGCCTTTGCAAAGGTGACTTCCTTTTTAGCTTAGGAATACACTAACAGTATCTGATGCTTAGATAACACCATGTGCCAGGCATTCTTCCCACCCCTTCAGTCCTCACAGCAGCCCCATGAAGCAGACACTATTACTGTCATCCCCATTTTACAGAGGAGGTAACTGAGGCACTCAAGTGGATTGAATGATGGCTCCCAAAAAAGACAGACCCATGTTAAATCCCTGGGAAGCTGTGAAGGTTAATTTATTTGGAAAAGGGGCCTTTGCAAATGTAACTACATTAGGGATCTTGAGACTTGATGACCCTGGATGATCTGGGTGGCCCACAAATCCAGTGGCAAGTGTCCTTATGAGAGAAAGGCAGAGGGAGGTTTGAGAAAGAGAGGAGGCCATGTGCAGATGGAGGCAGAGGAGGGACTTACGCTGCCATAAGCCACGGAATGCCTAGTGACTCCAGAAACTAGCAGAGTCAAGGACCGACTCTCACCAGAGCCTCTGGAGGAAGCATGACCCTGCCGACAGTTTAATTTCTAACCTCCGGCCTCCGGAACCAGGAGAGAATACGCTTCTGTTGTTTTAAGACACCACGTTTGTGGTAGTTTGTCATGGCAAATTTAGCATGCAGATACAGGTACTCAGAGCAAAAAGCCCACTGCTGTCAGGAACAGCAGGCGTAGCACCTGGGTCAAACACCTGGATGGGCCCCCTCAAGGGGCAGTTGTCCTCCACTGCAGTCCATAGCGGACAGGAAGAATGTGGGCCCAGGGACGCCAGATCACCTGATTGCTCATGACAAATTGAACTGAGCTTTTTAATAAAATCTCCTGATTTTAAAATATTCACAACTAATGGTAATTCTTTATAAAATATTGGATAGGTCAAACAATTGTGCTCTCTGCATTCAGGGACATGGCCTTTGCTTGGGATCTAAGCCTCAGGTACCTGGAGACTCTGTCCCTCCAGTTCCCAGCAGGACTCTGCCGGGGCTGGGGCGGTGGGGAGGATGGGGCGCTGGCTCAGCCTCAGGGCAGCTCTTGGGTTGTCCTCCTTGGAGGAAGAAGCTTGTGTCCAGCGCTGCATGTCCAGGCAAGAGTGGTCACCCCAGGGAGGAGTGCGGTTAGCTGGAGTAGCCTGGAGACCTAGGGTGACTCCATCCTTCTTCCCCAGGGCAGCTGACCATATGTGGCAGTGGCATCACTCACTGGGGGTAGGTCTTCCAACCCTCCAAAGCTCCTCTCCAGACCAGCCACCCACCACCTTCAGGAGCAGGCTTACTGCTCTGGCTGGGATCAGTGTATATCTGTGAGGCTCCCTAGAAGGCTCACTGAAGTCCTCTCCTCTTGCCAGCCAGTGCCCAAAGTGAAGGCTGGAATCGGGGTGATGACAAGTCTCCAGAGGGTGGGCAGCCATCCCAGGAGGGGAGGAAAGCAGGGGAGAGGGCAGAGGCATCTGGGCATGGGTGGGCTGGGAAGGAACTAGGCCAACGTTTAGGCCACCATGACATGGTCCTGCCCGATCACAGCCTCCCCTTCCCCAGCGTGGGCCACTCCATGCGCCAGCTGCTGTGGGTGCACATGTGCTTGTGTACACATGCGTGCTTGTGTATGCAGGGTGCTTTCCCACCTCCAGCCCCTTGCAAGGGCTGGTGCTTCTGCCTGAAATGCCCTCCCTGCTTCTCCATGTACTGAAACCTTATATGGCCCCCAAGGCTGCAGTGGGCACCCCTTGTTTCTGCCCATCAGCACTGGCCTGTGCTCCCCTGGGAAGACCATGCCCTGATTGTCACCTGTGGACTCTCCCTTCCAGGCTCTGAGGCCTGGGATGCTGGGTAGGTGGGATGGCCCCCAGCTCCAGGGATGGGCATGTGACTTAGGCCTAAGTAATCAGCACATCTCACTTCCCTGGCCACAGTGAGGGGTTCAGGGATGGGCACTGGGGCAGAATGGATCTACCTAGACCTGATCTGAGGACTTCTGCCAGGGAAGGGAAAGAGACAGGTGTTGTCTTCCCTGTTGCTGCATTTGAACCTGAGAATATGTATAGCTGAGGCTGGGGCAATGACCTGCTACCATGTGTGCTGAAGAATAAAGCCTACTGATATGTTTGGCTGTGTCCCCACCCAGATGTCATCTTGAATTGTACTCCCATAATTCCCACGTGTTATGGGAGGGAGCCAGTGGGAGAGAGTTGAATCATGGGGTGGTTTCCCCTCACTGTTCCTGTGGTAGTGAGTCAGTCTCATGAGATTTGATGGTTTTATCAGGGGTTTCTGCTTTTGCGTCTTCCTCATTCTCTGCCTGCTGCCATCCACGTAAGATGGGACTTGCTCCTCCTTGCCTTCTGCCATGATTGTGAGGCTTCCCCAGCCATGTGGAACTGTAAGTCCAATTAAACCCTTTTTCCTATATAAATTACCCAGTTTAAGGTATGTCTTCATCAGCAGCATGAAAATGGACTAACACATCAACACACAGGAGGCAGCACCAGCCGAAGCAGAGACTGAAGCCTGAAGTCACCTGAGCCCTGAATCCAGTCATACCTGAAGCTACATCTCCCAGTGGACTGGTTTTGTGAGCTCATATTGCTGAAGTCAGCTTATTTTATTTTAAAATTTGCAACTGAAAGAGTCCTAACTGACTCAAAGGCACTCCCAGATGCTGATTCCTCCAGGAAGCCTCCCATAACCTCTCCCCTCTGTGTTTGGACCACGCTTTGTGCCTGATACTCTTATGTCATCCTTTTCCCTTCCTGCTGGCTTGCCTGGATTTGCAGTGATTTGTTTACACATGGGTCTCCCAGGCAGCTCCCACCTTACCATCCTAGCGTCTTGCATGTAGCACCGAGCAGGGAGCCTCATGCCTGGCAGTAATGTTTAGTGAGTGTCTGGTGCCCTTTCTCCACTGGCACCAGGGCAGAGTTCAGCTTTTAGTAAAAGGCCTTCTCCTAGGAGGCACCCCATGTGAACTTTGCCCAGATCACTGCGTTGGTGGGTGCGGGGCTGGTGCGTACCAATGGCCTCCAGGATGAGCATGTAGGTGGCTGTGGTCTCCCGGTCCAGGCTCACCACAGTTCTCACAATGGCATCGCGGTAACCCACGCTGAACTTCCCATCCAAGTTGCCACCTGTGGATGAAGGACAGGAAGCTTTGGGCTGGGAAACAGAGCTCCCAGCCAGGAAAAGGCGGGGCTCTGCTCCTGAGCTGGGACCTGCCATGGTAAGTCCAGGAGTGGGAGGCTGTGCTGTGGACTCAGCCCTGCCTGAGGCGCTCTGATGTGGGTGCAGCCTGGGTGGGCTCAGTGGGGGTGCCGGATGCCTGGAATCAGTGCCCACCCTTCACAGAGTGCCTCCTGTGTACAGGCACTCCACACAGACCATTTCCTTCAGCCTCCTAACCCACTGCTCCATGGCATGCCTCTGCTGCCCTGGGTTCTCCGTGCCTGGGTCCCTGGGTGTGTCCTTTACCCCTCTGCTCCCTGCCTGTCCTGCAGAAGCATATGAGCAGCTAACCCGCATAGGGGCTTGTATATGTGGCTGAGGACTCTGGGGTTGGCTGAGCATCCCCCACATCCCTCATCTCGGAGGTGAGATGGGCTGAGGACTGAAGCTCCCTGAGTGGGGACATGGAGGCTCCACAGAGGGAGGAGCCAAGGCAGCTGTACAGGAGACAGGAATTACTGAGTCTCCCTGAGTTCTTTGACAGGTGGGAAGTGTGAGGGTCTCCTCTTGGGGTGGATGGGAGCCAGGAAGAACTCCCAGAAGTGTGGAGACCCCTCCCCTGCCAGCTGGCAAGCAGTGTGGCATTCTGGGCAGCAGAGGGCACCACGTCGCCAGCTTTGTGATGAGCTTGGGCAGGACTGGGCTCAGCTCCTTGCAAAATGCACACTGAAAATCCAGGAGGGCTCTGGGCATGTCAGCAGGCGCCTGCCACTTTGGGGTGCTGAAGAGTCATCCTGCAGACTGCCAGGTGCTCCTGTCCTTGCTTGTTTGCCCCTGGGGAAAGCCTCCTGATCCTCAAACCTTCAGTGCTCCCTACTGTCTTTAGTACCATCTGCAAGGGACACAATCTGGCTCTTGCGGAGCCCCAGGGCTGGTGCTGTGTGAGGGGTCTTGGTTACTAAGCCCTCTCTCAGGCCAACTTGAGGGCCAGACAGTAAGGAGTGGGCCTGAGGGTGCTGGGCCCCTTCAGGGAGGCAAGGGAGGAAAGTACAGGCTGAGGGCTGGGAGGTCACGTTGACCACAGCAAAAGCTGTGGATGGGCTTTGAGCCAGGCTTCTTGCTTCATGGGGAGGCATACGGGAGGCTGGTATGTGCCCTGCCTGTGTGTACAGAAGCACAGATGCCTAGGCAACATGTATGTTGGTAGGCAGGTCTTGGACAGAGAGAAGACTGAGCCGGTAAAAGGGCCAAGGGGGTTGAAGAACGGGGAAGACTGCACCCCCATGTGTCCCGGCACCTCTCATGTGTGTCAGGGAGGCTGAGAAGCTGTTCTCATCCAGAGATGGCAAGTCCAAGGCATGTGTGCCACCACCTACCAATCCTCCCACCGTGGCAGACATCACCAATCCACTGCGCCCCCTTTCCCCTGTGAGCCAGGACATGGCCTCATCATCTGTGGCCACAGCTCTCCAGGTGACAGCTAGGCAACAATTTTGAGCTAAAACAATTTCATTTAGGGAGATGGAAACCACCTGCCTTTAAACAGATGGGAGTTCTCCTGAGTAACAGGTCCCTGAGGAAGGACGAGGCCACATTTCTTGTTACTGCTCTGTCACCCATACTTGGGGCGGAGTGTGGGGCTCAGAGCTCCCACTATGAATCATGGGGCCCCACCTCTCTCCAGAATGAACCTTAGTAGATCCTCCCCCTGCCTATAACCAACGTATTCAGGAGGTCCCCAGGGAGCCAGTCCAGAGTGATCCAGCTGCAAAGCCCTTGGGAAGGGCCAAGAGCAAATTCTCAGGGAGGCACCAGCAGGGCTGAAGCCCAATGGTGGAGCCCTGGCCTCTTTTCCACCCTCACCTGACCCTGCACCTAGCCTGGCTGTCTATCTGGGAGGGGTGGGCAGGGCCCCAGCAGGCCTGCACAGGCGGGGGTGGGCAGCACCTGTGATGAAGTAACTGAGCTCGGCATTGAGGCCCACGTCGTTGTCTGTGCAGTTCAGCCAGACCACCCGGAACTCACGCGGCACATCCTCGGACACGGACACGTTGTACACGGCTGGGAAGAAGGTGGGCATCTCATCGTTCACATCCAGCACTGCAGGGGAGAATGGGCGTCAGGGCTAGGCCTGCCTTCTGCTGCAGACGACCCAGCTTCAGAGCAGCGGCTCCAGCTCCAGCTCCAGACCAAGTAGGGAACGAATTCCCAAGGGAGTCACCGGCTCCAAGTGGCATCTGTGTTAACACCTCCTGGCCATGAGCCCAGGGCCCCCCATGCCTGCCAGAGCCAGGATCAAGCCCATCAGCGCTCCAGACCCTCCTGCTGTCCCTTTGCCCTGGGGACTTACTGCTGCTCAGCTGTCAAAGGCGAGAGAGAAAATCTTAGAACCTCTCTCCGGGATGCACCTAACCACGACCATGACAACATGGACAGTCATGACAACGATGATGACCGTGAGCATTCACGAGCTTGTCCAGTGTGCCACGCCCGTGCTAAGTGCTTCCTGGACAGGACCACATGCGGCCCTCAGAGCATTGTAGGAGGCAGGTATTATCAGACACACTGTGTAGCTGAGGAAACAAAAGCTCAGAGCAGCTGAGTGACTTGTCCAAAGTCACAATGCGGCAGAATGGAGGGGCTGGAGCCTCAAGGTCTACCCTCAGTATGCAATGGAGCTTCAGCAAAGGGTGATCACTTTGATAATCCCATCCCCTGAAATAAGGTTTGATTTCCCTTAGAGATTTGTTTATTCAGCTGTGCATGCTCGGCTCTATTCCTCAGGCAGAGGGGCGCTTGGGCAACCTTTATGGCGAAGTGATCCCCACCCAACTTGGGTTCCTTTACGTGGTATCCCTAGGAGAGATGCTGGGCCCCTTTGATGATATGGCTTCTGCTGAGACTTGGAAGAAGGCCCTCCAGGGGTCCTCTCTTAAAGCTGGGACATACTCCCTGTCAATCATCCACCAAGAAGTGGGTCCTGAAACTGACACCATAAACCCATAGGAAGCCTTGGAGCGATGGGAGAGAGTGTTGTGCTCTCTGAAATCCTTACCATCTTAGGTCTCAGCTGAAGAAGGTCAGTGTCTGTGCCTGTGCCAAGCTAACTACTCCCTTTCCCACCCCTACCATCCCACAGAGGCCGGCAGAGCTAGGATGGGATCAAACAGGCCCAGGGAACAGGCCATGTCTTGCCTGTTAAACTCTGCCCTTATTTCCCTGGGGTTATTCCTGGCCCCTTGGCAACAGCTCATGTCCCCATCCTGTCCTGAAAATTAAAGACTCATCCAGCATGGAAATGGCACCCTGCCCCTTCACCGATAGAGGGCAGAGACTGTGGGAATGAGTGCGACAGCCCCAGCGGGAGAAGGATCTTAGGGAGTCTGGGAGTCCCAGCTGCTTTCTTCCCAGGGCGATGCCCTGCCGCTACCAGCCAAGGCGTTCCACACCCAAGGGAGGGGGAGGTCTCCTTTAGGTTTTAAACAAAAACTCTGGCCTTCCAAAGAAGACAAAGGGCTCTGCACCCTCCCTGGCTGCTCCTGACCTTGAGGTCCTGGCCACGGCTAAAGCAAGCCCCCTTTGCTGTTGCTATGATCTGGGGCTAGGAAGAATGGCGGGGGCGGGGGCTTGGCAGCAGGTCCAGGCCACTGCCCCTGAGCTCTGGGGCACTGAAGGCCGTGGCCAGGTGCAGAGAAGACTCTGCAGTGTTCTGAGGAGGGTGCCTCATTAACAAGGGAGCCTGTGCCTATAAGTCCAGCAGACAGCAGTAGGGGACACGGGCTCCCCACTCTCCCTGGCCCTGACCCGGGCCTGTGCCCATGTACTGAGCACACAGCAGAAGCCCCCCTCGCCCCTCACCGTGGATGCTGAGCGTGCTGGTGGAGCTCTTGGTGGGCGTGCCCAAGTCACTGGCCACCACCCGCAGCTGGTACTCGGCGATGCGCTCTCGGTCCAGCTCGGCGGTGGTGACCACCACGCCGCTGCTACTGTTGATGAGGAAGTCCATGCGGGGCATAGCCACCTGCATGCGGTAGGACACCAGGCCATTCAGGCCCTCATCTAGGTCGACGGCCACCACCTGAGGGCAAGAGGGGCAGCGTGAAGGCGGGGAGGGGACACTGGGATGGATGCTTCTTCCCTAATAAGTGCCCCCTCCTCCCCACCTAGACACACTTGGCTACAGCAGACACCAGGGGACCCTCCCAGATGCTAAGAAGGTCACGCACCAGCTGAAAGGTGTCCCGAGGCACCAAGTGAGGCCGACGGTGGGGTGGCAGAGGGACTTTTTAGAATAAGAGCTCAGGTCTCTACAGTGCTTTCCCCCTTCATCTCCTGCTCTCCCCATTAGGAAGCCCTCCCAGATTTGGAGCAGCTGTTCCAGCTTAAGGACCCTGCCATGATCTGGAGCTCAACCACATAGAAGATGGGAGTCACAGGCTGCCCCTCCCCCTTTGCTTGATTTGTGAGACAGCAACAACAAAAATAAAATGACATCAAGGGTTCCTTTGTAAAAATCACCTGAGGGTTTCATTATTATTTTTTAAAAAGTCATTTGCCGCCATGTACAGGCAAGCCTCCTTCCTAATTCATTTGCACCTCCAGCCCCCATCAGATTGCCTGACTCAAGACCCTGGTACCCTGGATGTTTTACTGAAGTGGATTCAAGCCATTTGGGGAAAATGTGTAATAACAGCTGAAATAAGAGTTTGGGATTAAGCCAAGCCTCTCAGAACTGGGAGACATTATCAAGGTCGTCTGATCTATTTCACACCCAACAAACTGGACGAGAGGGTGTCCGGACAAAGGTTGAATGCTTTCAGGACAGGGTGCTCAGTATTTTTACTTTACTTGCACAAGCTCTACCCCCTGGATTCCGCGCTTCTGCACAACCAGCAGAAATCTGTATCTCCTGAGGTCCTAGGTGGGCCCAGGGAGCACAGTTCAGGGGAGGAGCCTCGTCCTGTATGTGAAGACAGTTTCCAAGTTAAACGCTTCCTGCTCCTTCCTCTATGAACTCAGAAGTTGCATTGGTGGGCATCTTTATTCGCCAGCGTGAGTTCCCAGAGAACTGGGGTTACAGGTTCACTCACTCTCACCCCACCTCCCCTTGGCCTGGGGGCTTCCTCAGGATGGGCTGCTGTTCCCTGGATCGAGGCGCCCCCTCCTGGGGGCTTGGGGAACACCATTCACCTCCTCCTACCAATGAAGAAACTGAGGCACAGTGGGCCTGTGGGGCACCACCAAGCTCACCCCCTCTGGCATCCGGACAAACAACCCCATCTCCTTCGAATGGGAACAGGTTAACTTGATCCTGTCACTGAGTCTCAGGTATGAGCCCTGGTGACAGACACATAGTGAGTGCCACAGCTACTGTGTTTTCCCGAGTCCAAGTTCCAGGGTGCTTCATCCATGTGTCTGATTGAATCCCCACAGCACAGTCAGGCAGGTACTATTATTATTTCCATTTCACAGATGAGAAACTGAGGCTCAGAGAGGGTAAGCAGTTTGCTCCAAGCCACACAGCACTTGTTGGTGGAGCTGGGATCCACACCTCTATTGGTTGGATTCCACAGCCCATGCTCTTAACCAGGAGGGTCTGTGGTGTTTCCAAACGGCCCCTGGAAGGCTGAGGTTTTGAAAGGACTTGAAACCCTGGATGTCATCACCCCCAAACCGGCACCTTCAGGATCCCCCTGACCAGAGGATGATGGAACAGGAGGCAAAGAAGCCAGGCCCAAGATCAGACCCTGCCTTGTGTGGCCTCAGGGTCCTGGGCAAGTCTCTTTAGAGCTCTGCAAAGTGGGCAGAGGTCCCTCTACTACAGTGAGCTGATCCAGGGCTTATGGGAAAGCATGGGAGAGGCGATGCCCAGGACTATACTAATCTGGCCTTCTTTATATTCTAGAACCATCTGCAGGCCAGACGTCCATAATCAGGCCCTGAGAAACTTGGACTTGGCTTGCAGAATTCCACCTTTGCTTCCCTCCCTCTCTCTGCCTCTGTCTTTGCCCGTCTCCCTATCCTTTCCTGCCATTTTCCCCTCTATGTCTCCAGAGCCTCTGTCCAAGCCCCAGCTCCTCCCCTGCCCCGCCCCTGCAAAGTGCTCCGCCTGGGTGAGGCCCCTCAGGCCCCCACTGCCCCCTTCTGGGCTGGTAGGGATGAAATGAGAGAGACTCACTTGGTAGATGGAGACCCCTGTGGGGGTGCCTTCGAGCACCTCAGCCACAAAAGGCAGGTTCTGAAAGGTGGGGTCATTGTCGTTGAGATCCAAGAGGTTCACATACACTGTGGCACTGCTGGTAGCTCTCAGAGGGGGCCAGCCACCTGGGGAGACCAGAGTGAGAAGGGGCTGAGAATGGGGTAAGATGGGTGCAAGAGAAAATGGACAGGAAGAAGGCAAGTGGCGAGAGAGTGTCAGAGTCAGAGCTCTCCATCTCAATGGCCCCTCCAGGAAGCAGCCTGAGCCTCGCAGCTCCCCTCCCCAGCCCCCTCCATTCCCTTCGGGTGCTCTGGGAGTCACAGCTGGGGTGTGGGTATTACTCTACTCCTGGTGATCAAATGCAGCCCTCCTGGGTGGGCCCCAGGTTCCCCAGAGGCCCAGTCATTGGGGATGCCCGCAGCCTAAGGTGTGGGGCTGTGAGGGGCGACAGGGGTCCGTACAGTCAGTGACGGAGACGATGATTTTGCGCATCAGCTCGGCCTCGTGGGGGTCGGGGTTCTCCCGGTCCAGCATGGCATGGGTGGTGCGGATCTTGCCCGTGGTGCTGTTGAGGCTGTAGAACTTGTTGGGTGGCTGGATGCTGTACACCAGGGTGCCATTCTCCCCCAGATCTGGGTCCACAGCCACCACCTGCCAGGAGGGAGCAGACCCCTTTGCTGAGCCAGGCCTGGGGAGGGTGTCTCCAGGCTGGCAGGGGGTTTCTAGCTCAGACATTGGTCCTGGGGTGGAGGCATCCTGGCTCTGTCTGGCCCAGGAAGTGGTCCCAGAGGGTTGGGAGGCAGGAGGTTCAGAAAGTGAATCTGCAGTGGAAGCCTTTGGGCGCTCTAGCAAAACCTGTCCATTTCTGTCTCAGGCAAGCCCCTTTCTCCTGGGCTTCCAGATCTGTGACAGGAGGTGTAACCCTGCCTGAGCTAGTGCATCTGACAGCACCTGGTACACAACTACAGGGGCCCCCAGCAGGCATCCAGTGTCCCAGCGGAGCCAGGCCATTGCCAGCTACTGTGTGAACAGCCGTATGAAGCAGGTATATCTAATAATTATGCCCATTGTTTGGATGAGGGTCAGCGGGGCTCTCAAGGCCTCAAAGCCAGGAAGCGCAGAGCTGGGATTCTAACACACACCCCCCCCACCCCCCATACACACCTCCCCCACACACACCCCCCACAGCCCCATACCCCATACACACCAGACACACACATACACACCACACAACCCCCCCACACCACCCACACCCCCCCACACCCCATCCCCCTCATCCCCCCACACACCCCCCACACACAGCACGCACACCCCACACACCTCCCACCCACCCACACACACACCACACGCACACCCCATCCCCCTCATCACCCCCATATACCCCCCTCACACCCCCCCACACAGCACCACACCCCCACCCACCCACACACACCACACGCACACCTCCCACAGCTTTGTGCCCTTCTGTTCCAGACATTCAGGGGGACATGTCCATGGGTTTTGGGTGGCCAGGGGGCCCCCAGCAGGTCCCTGACCATGGAGTTCTCCAGGGGAGGGCTGGGAAGGGCTGGGGAACCTGTTCTCTCGCTGAGATTTTTGAAAGAATTTGAAACTGGATTTTGGAGACTGGGGTTCTTCATCCTCAAACCCTCCCTTCCTTCTTTTGAAGCTTTAGAATGTGACACCAGGGATGACAGGGCATGTGGAGGAGGCTATGGTTGGGCCCCACTTTCAGAAGGTGGGACCCAGTTAACTAGGGCAGTCATAGGGTTAGGGGAGTGTTGAGGGAGGAGAGGGCTAAGCACCTTGGAAGGGAGGAACACCATCCCTGGTGAGAAGCAGGGTCTCAGGACTGGGCCTCAGATACTCTGGCCCCTTCAACCCTCCGGCCCACACCCTGGTTCCCCACTTATAACCCCCACGTCATGAAGGGGCCAGTGCTCAGTGCCATCCTAACCCAGGGGTGGTGAGCACCACAGCCTGCTGTGCCTTAGTGTTCCCGATCCCACACAGCCAGGTCATAAAAAAAAGGCCAAGGGCCCCCTGAGGTCTCTGAGGGCTCCTTGTCTTTGCTGAGGCCCCCTGCGTGCACTGATACCCTGCTCTGTGGGGAAGCTCTCTCACCATCCACTGCCCTGCTTTTCACAAGGAGTAAGCAGAGCCCAGAGAGGCACAGGCCCATCTTGGGGTCACACAGCACCACCCTTAGCACTGACCCAGCTCTCGGCCTGGAGGCTCCTGAGGTGGCCCTTATCCCTCAATCACCCGTGACCCTGCGCTGCAGAGGCCACTTTGGCACCAGAGGTGGAGGAGGTCAGTGGGGGGTGGGAGATGACCACAGTCCCTGGGGCCACATCAGGACAGGGTCATTCTTAACTGCAGGATAGTTGGTGATGACAGCCAGGCCTTGTCAGCTCCTTCATCTTACTTGATGTGGAGCCTTTTCTGCTTTGGCAGGGGAATCTGTCCCTCCTCTGCTTAATCCCCAGCCAGAGGTGTCTCTGGGGCCACCAGACCAGAACAGACAGATGAGCTGCCCTGACTGAGAACTCCCATCTGCCCCTGTCTGTGGGCCCTGAGGAGGCCGGCGGGAGAGAGGCTGATGCAGGGCTGAATGCTGTGGCACCTAGACCAGCTTCCCCTTCAGAGAGGTGGGGGCAGCCTCTGCTCTCACCCCAGACTGCTCAGCCCTCCTCTCCCTTTTCAACCTTGCAGCACTGAAGGGTAGGGTAGGGGAGGTCCCTGCCTTCCAGGCCTAAGGTGTCCTCATCTTGCTGCAGGCATGTTGCCTTCGTTTCCCTAGCCTCCATAAAGGGGACCTCAAAACCCCCATTTTGCAAACAGGAGACAGGGCTCTTAGGTGCCACAGGCATAATTCAAACCAGGACAAGTCATTTCACTGATGGACTTAGGAGACCAGCATGCCTTGTGTTTCTACAATGCTTCTCTCAACAGTTTGAAAAGGGAATTTTTGTTTGTTTGTTTCTGTTGAGATGGAGTTTTGCTCCATTGCTCTGGCTGGAGTGCAGTGGTGCAATCTCCGCTCACTGCAATCTCTACCTCCTCGGTTCAAGCAATCCTCCTGCCTCAGCCTCCCAAGTAGCTGGGATTACTGGCAAGAGCCACCATGCCCAGCTAACTTTTGTATTTTTAGTAGAGACAAGGTTTTACCATGTTGGCCAGGCTGGTCTCAAACTCTTGCAGTCAAGTGATCCACCTGCCTTGGCCTCCCAGAGTGCTGGGATTACAGGTGTGAGCCACCACACCTAGCCTGGGGGAGAGATGATTTTATCCCTGTTTTATTTTTCTGGAAGTGAC